GCTATCAGAAGCGCAATCTAATGTTTATTTTACAGATTGTCTGACCCAAACGTTGTGCCATGAGGCGTCCAAGAGGAAAGCGTGAGTGAGGAGTTCACGGGCAGCGGGGAGGCAGGCCCAGCCTGCGGCTGTGGGTGCTGCTCCGCGTGGCCTGGGACAAAACACAAGTCCTTTGCCATCACCAGGCAGCTTGTGTGGCTTTTTCGACTCTGGTTTCTCGAGCTCACTTGTGCTGCACACTGACTGCGGCAGGGGAAGGGAGCGGAGGCAGCCTTGGGCTGCTGTGGAGGAACACGGCCCCTGCCACATACTTCAAGACAAGGGAGGGAGTTTAGCTGTGCATCTCATTTCATATGCCCATATTAAACTAGAATTGAGTGACCAGGGAGAAGAAAGAAGCATCATGGGCCTCAGGCTTTAATTGGTGCAGAATCCTGGCCCACTTAACAGCTGCTGTCATAGGTGTAAAACCACTCCCACTGCCTAATGAAGTCTCGAGTGCTAAGCCCTGGTGACGGCAAAGCGCGACTGGCAAGGAGTACATGAGCGTGATGTGAAATGTGTTAGATTCTGAGCCTCTTGCAACATATGGTCTGGTCTGTGCTGTGTGAGTCGTGTCGATTTGCAGATATGTGATATGAGTGATACTCGTCCTCCAGACACATGGAAAATCTTTGTTTTAAAAATATATTCTGCTTTGCGCGTGTAACCAAGTTGGACAGAAAGCAAGTGTGCCAATGCTGTTTACATGCCTACGGTGTGTAATGCTCTTCTGTCTAATGTTACCATATGCCTTATGTGTTTCAAATGTCAATTAAAAGTGTAACAAAACGCTTGGTAGTATACTGCTCAGTCTTCCGTTGGAATGAAGCCTCTGCTTCCAGCTCAGCCCCTGGGGCACCTTTATTGCTCTCCAGGTGGTCAGTGGGTAGACGTGTCACTTATAAATTGAAACTCCTCCAGAGTGAGAAGATGCCTCTGCTCTCAAGGACAACTGTTCATTGGTGCCTCAGGTGTCCCACTGATCCTCTAACCCCTGTTCTGGAGGGCAGCTAGGGTGATTTTTTTGTTTGCAAAGCTCTCTAGCTGCCCTTTGCACTTCACTTGGTGTCTGGGTGCTTCTGCAGCCGATTGAGATTGAAATGGGTGCCTGGTGTGATGGTCAGACAAAGTGTGAACAACCACTACTAAAACCGTAGGAATAAGGCTTGTTTATTTGTGCTTCTCCACTTACAGACTGTCCGTGCTTGTACGTTCTCTCGGGAGGCAGCTGCCCTGGCGCTGAAAGCTGTTAACTTTTTTTAAGGGAGCTGAGGTTGCCAGCTGGCCCCAGAGCAGGTGCTGCACAGGGGCTGTCTTGAGGACGAGGATGTCTGAGTGAGCCGTGAAGATTAATGACAGCTTAGCTGTGGCACAGGTGGTGCCTGAGCTGGAACCCGCCTGTAGTGGCCAGAAGCAGAAGAGATGTTGAGAAGATGGGGCTGGACTACATGCAGGCTCCTGCCCAGGTTTGGGTTACGCTGCTGAAAGCTGTGCTGGGGATTGGCCTGGAGCTGGTGTTGAAACAAGCTGCAGAACTGGCTGGTGAGGACACACATCCACGAGAAGATGAAGTTTCAGGGAAGCTCAGAGCCATGGCGAGGCTTGCCCGGCCCTGGGGGTGGCAGTGCTGTCACTACCGGGCAAGTTTCAGGCTACTGCTGGGAACACAGAAGCTCCTTGGACAAACACCTGCGGTGTTCAGCTGCAGTTGTCAGCTGGAAAGGAGGGTGAAGCAAAGGCACGGGCTGTGGCCACTCAGGCAGGATGTCTCATGCGACACCCAGTTTCTTCAGTACGGTGCAAACCTCACGGAGATACTGGGCATCCGGATAGCCGTTCC